AAAAGGATCTTGTTTCAGAGATGCCATATCAGAGTTATATAAAAGTTATCAACATTTGTATTTCATGGACTTTAGGCGACGAAGCGTTGGGCGGCGACAAAGTAAGCGAGAGGGAAGGCCATTTCAAAGACGACCATAAGCCAGAAGAGTTCGACACCAAGAAAATAATTTTATCTCCCAGTATCCGTTATGCTGGCCATGGCGCTTATGCCATGCCACACAAGTATGTATTCGTGTGTTGTATTCGTGTGGTATTTGTATAAATTGTAAACAGGGGTAAAAAAACAGGTTACACACAGTATGTTTGTGTATAAAAGTGTTTGTTTAAGAAGAAACATTGCTGTCAGTATCGTGTTATTCTAATGCTATTCTGATTTAAAGTGGTATCACGAAATTAATAATAGTTATTATTATATTAATAATAAAATGGTTATTATTGGTTTTATTCTTATAAAGCAAGTGTTGTCAGTTTAGTGAAATGATTAGCGTCAACATAGATTTCTAATGTTTTATTAAATTGCATCAAGTTTGACGCAATTTATCACTAATTGAGACAAATTAATATATCATCATTCTGCATTTCAAGAAAATCGATGTGCATGTCAACAGAAAGGTTTTGTTGTCCATTATCACACCATCATTTCAACACTGGCCTCATCTCAAACTGAAAATCATGACCTTTATTTGACGTTGACCTATGGAGTGGAAGATGTTTGATCGATGACCGCATGTTCGGTGCTCCAACTAAGGTTGGAATAAAAATATAGACTTATTAACCATTTACTAATTTTGGAAATAGATTTCCATAATCGCACAGACAACGAACGACGTAAACCCGCGTCGTAAGTCGACACATCCGGGAACTGCACTTATTCTTTGATTGCCAGTAACTGATTCATGGCACATTTATCCAAAGTTTAGTTTAAGTGCATTGATACTTTTGTGGTGATAATTTTATCGGTGTTAATTTTTATAGAAACTTAACAGCACTTTTCAAGTAATTTTTTTACATGGAAAAATATAGACTAGGTGCTGTAAAAACAGGATGTCGCATTGATTTAAGCTTTTCAACGCGTAAAATTCGAGTTGTTTGATAAAATCAGTAGTCAGTTTGATAGGACACTTCTTATGTTTCTAAAGCCTTACGATCTACATGTATACTCCGCAAGTGAATACAATTTATCAACAAAACCATCCACGAGGTCATTTAGTTAATTTTCTGGGAGTTGTTTTAGCTCTTTGGGAATGGGCTGAAGCCGTGCTGCCTTCCCCTGCAACTCTGTATAATGATTACATGAATAACCTATTAGACATGGAAAGAAACTATTTCACATGCAAGAAATATTACGTCGTATAGTTCAAGATGAAGAAAAAGATAGTTTTGATAACATACATGTACACCGTACGAGTTGTAGTCAAAGATAAAAGACACATGAACGACAAAATTATATATATATATATATATATATATATATATATATATATATATATATATATGCACGGCCACGATACTGGGTAACAACATTCCGCTTAGAATCTTGTGAGCACACATTCCGCTTAGAATATGCATCGTATTTTGCTTGATATTCATAAATTTTGGATAATATTACATTGTCCAAGATTTAAGTGTCATTACGGCTAAGAACTAAAAAGTTTAAAATACACAGCAATGTTTGGAAATGCAAAATTGTTTTAATAACACAAATCAATCCCCTTTCACACGAAAGCACCTCCATTGTAATCCTACACATATAGGGAGGGATCCATTGCTGCGTTTACCGATTTTTCTCCTGGGGATTCTGAAAATCATAATCTCTTGGAAAAACAAACTTAGGCGCATCGCAATCATCTTTCCTTTTTTCACCAAGACTGAATGAATAATACATGTGATAAAAGTCGCATCTAAACTTGAAGAAACACAACAATAAATAAACAAAATTAGATATAGTTTGCATTACAGTGGGTCATCCTGCAGCGTAAGAAAGACGTTGGAGATATTGAAAAACGTTTTGAATAGAGATTCTTTTACACAGCTTCAGATATCATGACAATATCCGCTTTATTTTTGCGACCACGACTCTTTATCTCTACAACATAACAAAGAGAATATTAATATGCATACTTCTTATTTTAACTTTGGGATTTTTCTCAAAAAAAAATAGTAACATGCATATGAGAAACTTTGCCAGATTTCATACATTTAGGCAGTATACTATATAGTTAATCTACTCAAAGATATCAGTCTAAAACAGCAAGGAAGATTTTAGCTTACCTTTCCTGATAAGGCTACAAGACCAAGCAAATACTTGAATTAATATATCCGTTTTGTGGTGACGAAAGAAATAACAAATTTATCGCGAAAAATATATAACACTTGAAAGGTGTCAAATACACTGTACGTGAAATTTGTTTTGTATAATAAGTAGTATGACGTCGCAATGCATCGTTCACTTAAATTACGCCATAACGCAGGCACACGTAAACGACATTTTAATTTTAAGGGGTAAAAAAAAACATGATTCAATGTTCTGAATGATATTTTTTAATCTTTTTTCATTTTTGAAGCTTTTTGAAGGTAAATCACACTTTTTTCCGAATATTTCAGATTCGAGGTATCAGGAAAAACCTATGTGGCTCGTGTAGCACTTCAAGTGTGCATTCGCCCAGGCAGCTATGATGTCGGCGATCAAACTATCGGAGAAACCAAGCCAATCGACCCAAAGTTTGACAATCAGGAAATAGAGTGGTCAACTAAAGAGCGTGGAAGCACTATTTTGTATGGTCTGCTGGTGAAATTGGAAGAGCAAGTTTCTTGAAATAGTTAATCTTAACTTCGACGGAGCTGAGAACAGTGCTTTTGACTTAATCGGTCTAAAGGGTTTGAATGGTATTTCATTTTGTATCCAAATCAATCGGATCATATTAGGAAAGTGTCGGTTTCATACCATTTATATACTGTTTTACGTCATGACGTGACATTTGCACTGGATAGGCCTAAGCCTACTAGCGGTTGATTGTGATTGACTTAATATGATGTCTATACGTGAGAAAAATAATCCCTTTCTAATTACATGTGCAGGCCTACTGATTTTGAAGAGTCAAAAACATACCGATTTTCAAACCAGGTTATGATTTACATCCATGCAGCTTCTTGCGTTTTGTGTCGATTTTTCTCAACCTTTTAGAAAAGACATTTTTACTTTGCATCAAGTGATTTGGAGATGGTAATTGGTATTTTCGAAATCAAGAAAGCCTACTTGAATCCTTTAATAAAAAAAGCATGCACAAATATGCTAGTTCCTTGCAGTAACTTTTAATGTAGCACTGGACTAAAATTTTAGCCTAGACTCTGTTTCTCCCTGTAGGTGACGTCAGCCGGTCAACAAAGAATACAGGGAGGTATTCTCAGGTTTTTTTTATTTACCTAATCTGCACTGTTGGTAAATAAAGTTGCTCTAAATGTGGTACTATTAAGGCGGCTGGAATCGTGCCCTTCTGCAAGTCCAACTACAGACCAAAGATTAAATCAATGCGATAGTTGAGCATCAGATTGCAAAACGAATTGTGTCACGTTTTGGTTATGAAAGGCCAAAGTGTGGATGCGAAACACGCTGACGAGGGGTTCCAAATACTTCAAGATCTACCCCTATCTTGAAATCACGACTTTCTCAGTTTATTTCATAACAAAGTTTACGCTAACACATCCAATAATATCCCCATAAGCATGGGTGGATGTAGGTTTTTTCTTAAGGAGACCGGGGGGGGGGGGGGGGGGGGGGATGGGGGGCAAGGACAAAAAGGATAATTTTACCACATTACGTGGGTACAGGGATGGATAAATCGCTTGGATTTGTCTCTTTTCGCTTCTTGAAAATGATACCTTTTGAAAGTAAAAACCTGAAACATTTTAAAGACAAACACGAACAAGTGATAAAAACAAATTAAACAAATTAAACAATGGACCTTCGATCATTTAAATACGCAGAACATGCTCTAATAGGCCTATCTCAAACAAAATGTTATCTCATACACATTTCTATGTTTGAAGCCATATTTATGGTATCTAAACACTTTTTGGAGGGTGGGGGGGGGGGGGGTCATTCATTTGCTGTATGGACCCAATGTTGAATATTTTGAATATTAATGAAACAACAGGCAGGAGTCTATGGCCGTGATGACGGGGAATCCCCTGTCACGTTTAGTCACGTGACCCATACGAGGTTGTTTATCTGCTGTAAACTTCTGTCCTGTTCGCGTGTATGTGGATCAAACATTATACAGGTAAAATTCTGGTTAATTGTGATCACTTCATCTTTGTATATGATTACATATTCACCCCTAATATAAACTGTAGATAGATTTTGAGACAACATCGCGTATTTGATACATTAGAACCTCATGTTCGATTCGCTTCTCACTTCCGTAAACACAATAATGGCTGATTTTGGTTGTTGCTTTTGTTATTGCTACTCCCCTCTCCATGCATTCCTCTGTGCTGATTAGTGTAGTTCTAAATAAGCAAATAATGGTGATTATGTAGAACTATTGGAGTTAATGAGTGTATATCAATTAACAAAAGAAGATCTGTTTAATAAAAAGTACAGGTCACAGCTACTTTCGTTTTCGATTCCTTCGTTACCTGAAGGTCGCCGTACTTGTTGTGATCTTTCGGGACTTTTTCAACCTCTTATGATGGAAGCTACATCTGTTATACTGAAGCATGTAATTATTTTGATTTTGTGAGTATTAATGAATGTAGTTGCCGACGGGAATTAACGAATTAATGAAGTATGTATGTCTAGCGGAAACGTTATTACACTGTATAGTGCCGCTACTTCTAATATGTGTTTACTTATTTTTAATACAGGCCTATATTTTAAATTTGCATTGATACCATTCAGTGCATTCAAATTAACGTTAAGTCGCAATGGGAAATGAAGCATCGACATTACGTCTTCTCCATAATTTGGCGGAGCTTGAACAGGAGCTTGAACGAGACCAAGTCTCGAAGTCCAACCAACCACTAAAGGTGCAACATGGCTGGGATTCCAAGGACTGCTCCAATAATATGACGGTGCTAGATGATGGTTTGAAGGTAGGATTCACGGATAACGAGAAAAATCTACTCACCTTTAAGTTTCTGATCTATCCTGAACATTTCATCAAAATATAATAATGTTTTAGTCTGGCTGTTGACAAACAAACAAACAAACAAACAAACAAACAAACAAACAAACAAACGGAGGTGAATACTTTATCTCCTTGGAGGGGAGGGGGGGGGGTAAAATCCCTGTGACGTACATTTTATAGTCCCCATCAACTGTTTAAAGATGCAAAAAGGCCGAGTGACCTGATTCAAAAGTTTTATCTTTGTAACTCTTTAGTAAAATCCTGAGCATGCTAGTGATTTGTTTCAATTTCAAACTAGATTCCTTATTAAGAAAGGGGGAAATTCGAATTTACATTTTATTATAATTTCACTATTAATTAAAGACTTGTTAAAACTTTTATTCTTTAATTTATTGTTTTTCTTTTTATCAAGTGTATATAAAATATGTGGATATTACCTCCAATATTTCTGTGACTGTCAGTCACCATCATCAGTTACAACACAAGGCCAGTGATTAGGGGCAATTGACCTGGATTTTCACTGCAGGTGAAATGACCCTAGTCATTTACTCCTTGATGATGGTGACTGACAGTCACAGAAATAAGGGAGGTAATATCCACATATTTTAAAAGCTGTTGATAAAAAGAAAAACAATAATTTAAATTGATACATACAGAGCTAATGAAACTGTTCTCTATAAAACTTTTACGTTTTCTTTATTCATCAAAGTTGTAAAATCATATTTGTACCTATTTTACAGGTGCGTAGAAATAGATCTTTACAGCCTAGGACGGATGCCGTTAGGGGCAAGAGAGGCTATGGTCAAGGGATACATATCTGGAAGATTCACTGGCCCCAGTCGATGAGAGGCAGCAATGCTGTTATTGGTGTAGCTACCTATCAGGCCCCTCTGACTTGCATTGGTGAGTTTGGTTGGATGATTGAGACAAAATAATTCACCTAGACCCATACATGTACATAAGCTGTGCGGTATAACAAGGGCAACTTATGAAGCTTTGCGGCATGTTTTCCCCAGAGTTTATACTGGTACAATGTATTATATTTTCTGAGTTTATATATGGGGCCTAGTTGTTTGTTTATAATAATGTTTAAAATCGGATTACTGTGAAATTGACGAGAATGTAGTCGTAATAATGTCGCAAAGTTTTAAGTGCAATTTGGCGATGTGTTTCAGTTGCTTCTAATCATATTATTCTCTCGAAGGTTATTCGTCTTTTATTGGTTCGAATGATCAGTCCATGGGATGGGATATTGTCCGCAATGTTCTTCTCTTCAATGACTGCGTCATCAGAAAGTACCCGGATGATGTACCTAATGAATTTGTTGCTCCTGATGTCATCACTGTAATTCTTAATATGGACTCGGGGACTCTTGGCTTTAAGAGTGATGGGAATAATTACGGAGTAGCACTAAAGGGTCTTCGCTTACTGGGGAAAAAACTTTACCCTGCAATAAGCGCAACATATGACAACTGTGAAGTGGGTATCGAATACATCAGAAGTACAGGTAAATGCTAGGCTCAGAGGAACTTTTACTTGGTAAAATCTGAAAAAATATCCTTTGCTTTATAATTTAGTAAAATATCAAAATAAAGACTCAATGTTTTTACAAAAAAACAATATTAAATAAATATTCAATAAATAATAAAAAGACACACAAAAGTATCACAATAGGCCACCAGTGCTCGTATCTAGTCTATTGTGGATGGATGAAACAGTTTCAGTTTGCAACATGTTTTGAACAAAATCGTGAGTAGTACGCAGTATGCACGATATTTCCCCTCATACTTTCCGCACAGATTTATAAAACTATTTTGTTTCTTTCCATTCATGTAAGACGCAGCACCTGCGCCCGACCTCCCGTCTCCTTCAAGGCCCACTGAAAGAACCACTGCAAGAGGTACGCTCTGTAACCTGAATACAACCATTGCATCTTAAATCCTAAAATAAATCTTGAATATCGTTTTCATTCAGGATGTAATTTTTTTATATATAGACAAACCCATATAGTTTTGATTCAAACTAAATCTTTTTATTTCTTTCAGATCAGGGAAGACCACCGGCAAAACCATGTCCTCCGGCCCAGCCTCTGAAATTCAAAAAGCAATGTGGGAAAAATATCGAATTGTCAAATGACAGCATTCAAGCGGAGAGATCAAAGTACGTTTTGATCAATTGTTCATTTTTAAAAGCAGAAATAGAAAATGAAAAAAGTCAAAAACTAATTTATATTTTAACTTCAGGTATTTTGGTATTTTGATAGGGGTTTTGTGTATTGCAATTTATGTATTTTGTTGGGGAAATGTTGTAAATGCCCGTTTGGGATGTTAAAACGTCTTCATTGATTATGTTTTAGACATATATACCTGCATTAGATTTTATTAATATTCTAATACGGTTTACCAACAAAAATAAAAACCGAATGCCACGCATTATTACAATAACGGTTTGTACCACCTCATTTTCCATTCCAGTTTTATGTCTGAATCAGACAAAGCAGTTGTTTTGACTTCGAGAAGTCTACAACCAAATGAAAAGTTTGAAATATGTGTAAAGAGAACTCTTGGTCAATGGCCAGAGGGTCTAGCTATCGGAGTTGTGGCTCTGGAAGCAGGATTCGAGATTCCGAGAAGTCTCCCTGGACAAGCCGCAGATATAGCGTGGGTCTGGAAAGGCACGGATGTTTTGCATGACCGAAAAACGGAACGGAAATTGGATTTTAACCTTAATTCCGCAAAAGTATGTATTTAAGGATTGCATGTATTTATTATGTTTCGCCTTTTCGAATAAAGGGGTCTCTGCTGGAGCCCAGTCTGTCTAGTACTGTTCCTATATGGCTCTACATGTATACTAATAGTGCTGTATGAAACAAGGTACAAACGTTTCTCGGTTTTTCCCAATCAACACGAAAACCCCGAGAGAGAAAAAGTAAGTCCAGTTGTTTTAATCGAAATTCACAAAGATTTCATTTCATTTATGAGAAGGGATAAATGTGAAGGTGGTTAATTGTTTACCAATCACACGAGCGACCAATACATTTTTCGTGAACACGGAAATCCTAATAGTCAGGGAGTTAATTACTATTCTTAGCTCTAATTTCAGATTGGCGACACATTTGGTGTCTCGAGAAAGGAAGATGGTGCATTGCACTTCTTTTACAACGGTCGAGATATGGGAATGGCAGCCACAAATATTCCTCAGAAAATACACGGAATTGTCGATGTTTATGGCAGTACTATACACGTAGAATTAGTCGGTAAGCATGCTATATCTATTCAAAAACGACAAATAATCTTTCTATGTGAATTTTGTCCCAAGGGCTGTTCAACCTGTTGAATAACCTTTGTCTGACCACGTACTAGCATCTTATACCACATTGAAACTAAATATAAAATGAATTTAAAAGAAATTTGAACATTTGACATTCATGTTATTTTCTGTTTCATATTCAACAGAACAAATTCGAGAGGAAGCCTCGGAGCCAACAGGTGCCGCTTTCACGGGCATGTCTAGAGAAGAACGCGCCTTTGAAAAAATGAAACAAACGATCGATCTCTTAAAGAAGAAAGACGAACGCACTATTCGACCCACTATACTTATGGTCCACGAACATTTGTACATGCTGTACGTCAAGCATAAGGACCGAAGCCTTCGGCAGTTAATGGGTGACAAGCTGGTCCAGTTGAATGCCGCTTTCCATATTACTGAATATATAAAATTTCTCCGTGATTGCGGGATTGAAAACGCCAGAATCTTCACGTGTTATGAGCTGCTTCGTAATGTTTGTTGGAATTACAGCGATGCCAGTCTGAAGTTTGCCAGGTCCATCGGACAGACGGAGCTCCTTGGAATTCTTTCTGCAGAACTTGCCAAGTATCAGAATAGATATATGAGTGAAGAGGTAAGAAAGAAAAATCAATTTGATAGCCCTCAATCCATTTTTTTTTTTTTTTTTTTTTTTGCCTTGGCTTTGGCCGGGCTTAAATTTATAACATCTTTTACTTTTGAACTAGGTGTCCATTAAGATTGTTACCGATTTTCACCAATGGAGTCTCCAGTTTTTTGAAAATGTAATGCATGTTTATTGTTTACTGAGATACATTTGCAAAACAGATATGTACTATATATTCAAAATTGTTGCTTTTTAATCCCAGGGGAAAAGAGATATTGTTATGTCAGCATTTGGAATTCTTCACAACTGCTCAAAAGTCACGGAGAACCGAGGGGTGTATTACCGCCTCGGTGTGATCAACATCGTGGTTCCTTATACGAAGCCAGGGAATGACGAAACAGTCGCAATGACTGCCTTAATGACCTTGTCCTACCTTGTTACTATTGACCAACAACACCTGATCCAAGCAGAGCCATCAGCTATTGCAAACATTCTAAAGAAACTTGACGAAGCACTGAGAAACGCAGAAACTCATCAGTCGGACGGTTTCCATGCCTACGAAATTGTGGAATCTCTTATAAACTTATCGAAAAGCGCACAAAATCGGGTGACGACGATACAGAAAGGAGGCATTCCCCTGTTTGTAAAGATGATGAAAGTCGGCAATCCACAAGAGCAGGAACTCGCCCTGAACGCTGTGTGGGAACTTATTAACGGTGGCGACGGGACGCTGTCAGCTGTCTCTAGAACAGAAGGACTATTAGACGCAGTGAAGGCTTTAAAGAGCAGCAAAGTCGAAACTGTTCGTCAAGCCGCTGAGAGGATTTCATTGAGGCTTGACACCCAGACTCAAATGTTTTCCCAGAGGTTTGGTAAGTTGATGGATTTTCGTTTAGAAAAGTTAATATTAATAAATAAATAAACCATGAACAGTGTATAATTGGTAAACATGGTGGACGTAATTGCATTTTAGTCAAGTTGATGGATTTTCGTTTTGAAAAGTTAATATTAATAAATAAATAAATAAACCATGAACAGTGTATTATTGGTAAACATGGTGGACGTAATTGCATTTTAGTCAAGCCATACTGTTCAAATTCCATTTCCTTTCCAGATCCTACACCCAAACCAAAGTGCACTTACAAAGATATTTGCGACAAATTTGTTGCGACACTCAACATACATAGTAAGTTGTCATTAACTTGAAAAATATTCTCTAATTCATTTTCTCACATATTTTAAAGATTCTGTTTGCCTATTCTAAACTATTTTTATTATGTAAAAGAGTAAAGCGAGTACATGATGCACTTAAATGTTTCCATGCCTTGGAATTTTACAGAGACATATTTTGATGCCAAGTATCATCGCTGCTACTGCAACCATTGCCATAATGACAGAGGAGACAAACTGTATTATACTCGCGGAAATCCACCAAAGGACTACGGTATTCCAATTGGATGGTACAGGTATGCCCTTTGGTGAGTATAACAACGGCAAATCGGGTTTGGTAACTTGGAAATTTGAATGATATTTTTATGTCTTTGTGTGTGACGATCTTCAACGTCTCTGTGTGTTACAGCCGAAAGCAAAACTTTAAATACTGTGTAAAATATTCTTATTCATGTATATTGTGAAGCCGCAAAACTTTTTTGCTTTTTGTTTTGTTATGCAATGCTACTGTGGAATATTCTTGTGACTATTCAAAGTTATCTTTTACTGTATCAAGGTGCATGTATGAGCTGTCTTTTTTTTAATGTGGTACCAGCCTTCCACCTAAAGCAAAAGCTATGAACGTATTGGACAAATGGCACAGGGCATTCCATGGCACTAAGAAAGATGTGGTCACCAAGATACTTGAAGTCGGGGAACTGCTCATTCCAGGTTAGGCACTCAGTTTGTCTTATGACGTCACGGGACAGGCACTTGTATTGCGAACAACTCTCGAAACGTGTGATATTTATGTCAGTGTCTAATTAATGTCAACTTCACTTCATTCATCTACTTATTAAAGTTTACACGCAGGACTTTTGTTTTAAATTTTTGTTGGTCCGTTCGTGATCTCGAACTCGTGTATTTTTTATTATTATTATTATTATTATTTTATTAAACTTTTTTTTGGAGATGCCATATTAGAGACATATAAAAGTTAACTTGGACTTTAGGCGATGTAGCGTTGGGCGGCGACAAAATAAGCGAGAGGGAAGGCCATTTCAAAGACGACTATAAGCCTGAAGGGTTCGACACCAAGAAAATATTTGTATCTCCCAGTATCCGTTATGCTGGCCATGGCGCTTATGCCATGCCACACAAGTATGTATCCGTGTGGTTTTTATGAATAGTAAACAGTGTGTGTGTGTGTGTGTGTGTGTGTGTGTGTGTGTGTAAATATGTTTGTTTTGGAAGAACCCTGCTGTCAGTATCGTATTTTTCTAATGCTATTCTGAGTCATGGTATCATGAAAATAATAATAGTAATAATGATAATAATGATAATTTTACCGATTTTTCTCCTGTACATGAGGATTCCGAAAATTAATTTAAAGAACAAGCTTAAGTGCATCCCAATCATCTCTTCCTTTATTGTCACATTTGTTATTCATTTACCAAGTCTGTATAAATAATAAATGTAAAAAAAGTAGCATGTAAACTTTAAGAAACACTAAAAAATATAAACAGAAGTAGATTTGGTTTGCATTGCAAAGGGGTCATCCTGTAGCCTAAGAAAGACATTGGAGACATTGAAGGACGTTTGGAATATATGGAAATGTGTTTCGGTACGCAGCTTCAAATATCATGACATTAAATCTTACCATTCTTTTCTTCATTTTTGCGACCACGACTCTCTATCACTCCTGTCTCTACATTTTAATAAATTTGAGAGAATGTTAATATACACGATTCTTCGTTAATTTTGGGATTAAAAAGGTTACACAAAGACATTCGCCACACTTGATACATTTTAAATGGTATAGTATACAGTGAATCGTCACAAAAATATCAGTCTAAAACAGTAAAAACAAACAAAACAACACATGAGTAAGCGAGATTTTAGCTTGACTTATAAGGAAAGTCTTGTAGCCTTATACATACTTGAGTTTCCACACCCCATTGTGACACAGAAACAAATTACAGGTGAGGTGTGAGGTGTCAAGTACGTGAAATTTGTATTATGATGCATCGCTCACATAAATTATGTCATAACGCAGGCACACGTAAACGACATTTTAATTTTAATGGTTTAAAAGAAACATGGTTCAATGTTATGAATGATATCATTTAACTTATTTTTAATTTTTGAAGCTGGATTCCTCATAAAAAATAAATCATCCACTTTTATCAAATATTTCAGATTCGAGGTATCAGGAAAAACCTATGTGGCTCGTGTAGCACTTCAAGTGTGCATTCGCCCAGGCAGCTATGATGTCGGCGATCAAACTATCGGAGAAACCAAGCCAATCGACCCAAAGTTTGACAATCAGGAAATAGAGTGGTCAACTAAAGAGCGTGGAAGCACCATTTTGTATGGTCTGCTGGTGAAATTGGAAGAGCAAGCTTCTTGAAATAGTTAATCTTATTTTTGACGGAGCTGAGAACAATAAAGCTTTAGACTTAATCGGTGTGAAGAGTTTGAATGGTATTTCATTCTGTATCCAAATCGATCAGATCATATTGGAAAGCGTCGATTTCATTCCATTTGTAAATTGTTTTATGTTATGGCGTGACATTTGCAATGGATAGTCCTAAACCTACTTGCGGTTGATTGTGATTGACTTAAAACGCTGCATAAAAAATTTTAAAAAATGATGTCTACGTGAGAAAAATAATCCCTTGCTAATAACGTGTGCAGGCCTACTGATATTTGAAGACTCAAAAACATGCCGCTTTTCAAAGCAGGTTATAATTTACATCCACGCAGATTCTTGCGCTTTGTGTCGATTTTTCTCAACCTTTTAGAAAAGACATTTTTACTTTGCATCAAGTGATTTGGAGATGGTAATTGGTATTTTCGAAATCAAGAAGGTCTATTTGAATCCTTTAATAAAAAGTACTGTAGCATCCACAAATATGCTTGTTCCTTGCAGTAAACTTGTCTTTGTAAGTTACAGACATTGGGCGAAGTACTTGTATAGACTAGTAATAGTGCCAAGAGACTTGCTTTTTGATATTGTATTTTAATATTTCCTGCTATTTGGGCCTATTCGTTACTCATTGAGTTGTATTTCACAAACGAATTTTCAAAGAAGCACTGGACTAAAATTTTAGCCAAGACTTTGTTTCTCTCTGTGGGTGACGTCAGCCGGTCACCTACAGGGTTACCACTTAATATGGAATATTTTTTATCATTGTTATTTTTGAGGGCTGATTTAAAAAAATTTGGCTTGATTCATCAAAAACGTATGCCATTGAGTGATAAAAATATCCAGTCTTCTATTGTTAGATATTTTGGTCAATAATATCAAATCTGACATAAGATGTCATTCAAAAGAAAAGAACACCCCCAGAAAACCATATCAACAGTTTGATGTCAGTATTAATTTTAAGCTAAGATATTAAAGAAAATGATAGCCTCCCGACAGTGATATGTTACACAGTCAAAGAAATCATTACAGTAAATCATGAAAAGTCATCAATAGCAGGTATGACCTCCAGCAGCCGCTTGCAGCGCCCTCATCCTACATGGCATACCTTGTGAAAAGTTTTTTAGAGTTTGGATGGGGATATCATTCCACGCAGTGATATTTGCCTGTCGCAGTTCATCACTATTTACCGGCCGATGACCATAGCTATTAATTCTGTGAGTTACTTCCGCCCACAGACTTTCAATTGGGTTCATATCTGAGGAGTTTGCAGGCCAGGGCAGTTGCTGAACCCATTGGTTTCGAAGAAAAACAGTGATTCTGCGAGCTCGATGTGGGGTTGCGCAGTCGTCTTGGTACACAAAGTTGTTCCTGGAGATGACTCTTACAAATCAAAGCATTGTTTGCTGTAGAATGTCTCTGTAGGAACCCTGGTTGAGGTTGCCTCCTAGAAAAACCAACTGGTTCTGGGCACCGGCATAAAATGCTCTTCAAACAGAGACGTTAACACCCCCTGCTTGCACCCTAGCCAGTACACAATCATCGTTTTATGCCTCTCGTACACGTCGGCGGACACGGATTCGACCATCAACCCTAAAAACTCCATATCTGGCCTCATTACTGAAAACGACGTGATTCCAATGTTTTGGCTGCAAAGGCACGTGTCCCCAGCCTATTGCAGACGTCGCTGTGTATGACCTGCTGTTAACAGTGGTTTCCCTACTGGCCTTCGTGCAAAATAACCGGCTTGCAGTGATCTCTTGTTCACGAGGGATCTTGAAATGGGCGTTTGAATGACCTTCTGCCCCTCTTTTCTGAGGACACTGGTTGTCTTTGTACGACCAGCACGGCGCACTCTGAGGAGAAGGCGATCCTGTCTTCTTGGTGTGATACGCGGACACCCTGGTCGAAGTATTGTAGTTGGTGCCCCTTTTGTAGCTTTTCTTTGGAGGACTTTACTAACGGTTCCTGATAAATGTTGCATTGCCTGGCAATAGCTGTCAGTATCTGGCCATTTTCTCCGAGAGCAAGAATCCCATAGTAAGCTGCGTTGCTTAGCTGTCGAACCATATCTTCTTCAAGGTACCTGTCAAGTTTCAGAGCGATATCTTTGTTGCTTCTCTAAATACACTCCAAAGATTGGCCAACCCATGCGTTTTTATACAAGGGCAGAAATTGCCGAAAAGACCACCCCTCACATTTCTGACCACAGAACATGCAACTGCATGCATCAACTGTTTCGACAGTTGTATGGTAATTAGGTAACACACCTGGCTACACATGGAGTGACACCTCAGTTTTGGATTTAAAGTAGTTAGAGAGAAAATGAATATTTTGTAGAAAATAAACTTGCCAAAAAATAATATTCCATATTAAGTAGTAACCCTGTACGTGTAGCTTACAGAAAGGCTTTTCTGCATTTTTTTGTATTTTCCAATTCTCTTGTCATTGAGTTCAGAAATAAATAACTTTTTATTTCGCCGATAACGCGTTCAACAAGAGCCGATGTATTTTCTTCTTCGTATGTCTCTGTTGATCTTGATAATATGAGCCCCGTTTGTACAAATCAGTAATAGCCTACGTATACGGGACTGAATACATAATAATAAAAATTTTATTGACGTCTCACGTTAAAAAAAATAGAACCCACCCTGCTAAGGGTTATTAGAGACTAAAACCTGTGATGGGCCTACAACATTTAAAATGATCACTTATCAATAAAACACACACAAAAAGGATATTACATACAAAACTTTTCAAACCTTCTCTTTGTTGTTACACAAAAAGTCGTGAAAGTTCTTGAATTTTTTGTAAGTAGAACCCCCGTGTAAAACTTCACAGCTTTTACTTTCTTTTTCCATAATCTCATGCTTGAAGTCTTTTCTTAATTTTTAGGCCCCGGGCTATTCTTCAATTTTTTCTTCAAATCTTCATAATGTTTTTTTTCTCGCATTTTTTACCCCCGAGTTTTATTTGCCGATAGTTCGTTATATCCGTTGTTTAACTAAGCATTTCTGTTTTTTATAAAGCACCGTTGATCTCCTAATATTATAGTTTTTCTTCCCGCCTTCGAAATGTTCAGCGCAAACGCGGTGCCCTGCTTTTGATCCAAACCTGCTATATTTTCCTTTCTTTCTACCATATTTTTCATTCTAACGGGTTTGTTGGGAACTTATTAAACCTCATGTGTCGATCTCGCTTACTGTTATTGTAGTAGCGGGACAAAAAGCACGTAAACCCAGCCATGGTTTTTAGCACCGCTGTAAGTGTTTCGACGTAGCAGGGCTCCCCTACCCACAATGCAATTTCCATTTCCGGAAAAGATGAAAAAGGCTAATTGGGCTTCAAGTGTCGTCTTCCGCTGCTTGAGCTACATCTGGCGGCTACTTTCAAATTGGAGTTAAGATGGCCGACAACTATTGCGGTGCGAATTCAGAACCTTCGGACTATCGGTATGCGTACCCGAATACCGACACGAATGAAAAAGATTAACCAAACTATCATACTGAATTAACCACCATGCCCCTTATGTTTTACTGCTCATTACTTCTGGGAAAGGTTAGACTTACAAGACAACAATATATACAAGGTATTTCTAGTAACGAACTTCATCAAAATTATATTAAAGTAAAATTGATAGTTGTTAAGTGTTTTTCGTAAACAAGTGATTATTATTACTTTATTTAAATACATTCTTTTAAACTTGCTCACAATTTCAGGTAACTAAGGAGTGAATAAGTCCAGCTGTGGAAAGGTTTGAGTGAAATTAATTACGTTGAATGGTACTTCCAGGTCATCTTCATATAAATAATCTCTATGCGTATGTGACTCTATCTGTTTATCTATTTAATATTGTAGTATATTTTCTCTTCCTAGGAAAAATCAGCGGTATACGCAAGTACACAATGATACACGGGGCCACAAGAGCAATAGTCTTGCTCACGCTTTTCCTGGCCTCTGTGTTCTGCCAGCGAGAAGGCAGTAGGTGTTGCGACAATCCGTGCAGTGACCCAGCACCATCGGCAACTACCAGAGCTATTTTGACACGTATAGACAATTCGGGCAATATTTTCACAGCCTCAAACCAAAGACCTGCAACTAGCACCGTTCCTCTCGAAAATGTGCCTCCCACTGCCGAATTATTGGATTCAAGTGATGGCAGATGAAAAGTTTTGTCTGTACGATGGGAACACTGTAGACTCTGTTGTTAATATAGCATGCTACTGTGATGAATATTGCAACATCTTTGCAACATCTTTGGTTCAAACAAAGCAGAGAAAACCACAAACGGCCAAAACCTAGACAAAAGGAATCGCAAAAATGGCACAGAACGGGCCCACCTAAGGGCAGAATTCCCCGCGCGCCTCTAACAATCCTCATTACGAGGAGGTGAGGGAGGTGAGGGAAACCAAGCAGTACACCACGGGCTGTACAGAACGGGCAAACCACATAAACAAACAACTAGAAAGGGGAGCGCACAAAGTCAGGGCCAGGGTGGATTTTAAAGGATGCCCTGGCCACGAAGCTCTCACTTCACAACTGATCGAAATCCAGGACAAGGCATCAGAAGCAATCAAACATACTATCGAACTTCACATAGAGGACTTTTTGAAAAGAGCCAAAGAGAATCATGAAGAGGCCCTAGCCCGCGAATCCAAGGCAGAGGACTTCTATAAGACACACGGGACGTGCGAAATAAACGCAAGCCCTCAACCGACTTCCAACACCAACCCAGATCTACTGGAACAGGTCCGCGCCCTACTCCTTACGATGAAATCCAAGAAGAAAAAGATCGTCACATCCACCAAAGCAAACGCCGCACAGCGGCCACCCTGAAGCACCCCAAATGAACAAGCAGCACTAAATTAAAAACAGCCCTTTTCAGGGCTACACACATGCTCAGGAAAAGCTATACCAAAATGTAACAATCCTCATTACGAGGAGGTGAGGGAGGTGAGGGAAACCAAGCAGTACACCACGGGCTGTACAGAATGGGCAAACCACATAAACAAACAACTAGAAAGGGGAGCGCACAAAGTCAGGGCCAGGGTGGATTTATAGGATGCCCTGGCCACGAAGCTCTCACTTCACAACTGATCGACATCCAGGACAAGGCATCAGAAGCAATCAGACATATACTATCGAACTTCACATAGAGGACTTCTTGAAAAGAGCCAAAGAGTATCATGAAGAGGCCCTAGCCCGCGAATCCAAGACAGAGGACTTCTATAAGATACACGGGACGTACGAAATAAACGCAAGCCCTCAACCGACTTCCAACACCAACCCAGATCTACTGGAACAGGTCCGCGCCCTACTCCTTACGATGAAATCCAAGAAGAAAAAGATCGTCACATCCACCAAAGCAAAACGCCGCACAGCGGCCACCCTGAAGCGCCTCAAATGAACAAGCAGCACTAAATTAAAACAGCCCTTTTCAGGGCTACACACATGCTCAGGAAAAGCTATACCAAAATATTCATACAAAGAAATAAATAAACAACCAGCAAATAAAAGCACTCTTTTGTCCCTTCCCATGGGTGAGAAAC